GCCATTATAGTAATAAAGTGCTTTTCGTAGTCTTAACATAACAAACTGGTATGCCAATTTGCATTAACCTGCAAGAAAAAACAGTGTAGTACTTTGTTGTAGGTATGTCTGCTAGCACGGAAAGTGATTTAATGCTTCAAGGAGAGTTTCGCAAGTACCGGTTTAAACATTGAACTGTTTGGACTCATACCTTGTAGAATAAGCCCTCTGAAAAACAAAATGATTATAACACGAAAAAAACTCGCTATAGATGCGATACCTTAAGAAGCATATAGGACAAAAAGCTAGTTCAGCCTTACAACTATGATAAGACATTTCTTTACAACATAACATAGCTGTGGCAATTGGTTGGTTATATAAAGAGCGATAGTCTGCACTGTCCTCTCAACAAAAGAGGTTTTTTTGTGCCCACGACTCTAGTTCAAAGTAAATGCGCCTTTCACTAATCTTCTTTTTTATGACTATCCGACTTAAATCCGTTCCAGGAGAAAAATCGTATAAAGGAAAATTCTATACCCATCTAAGTTTCGAAAATTCTTAATAATTCTCTGGCCTTCATTTTAAGAGTAGTGTCTTTTGTTCTATTATAGCAAATGATCATGTTTGCCATGATCGCTGTGCTACGTTCCATTGGAAACAAGTTTTCTGTTATTTTTAATTCTATTCTATCAACACTTCTATGCGGGTTTACGAAAGCACACCTTCCCATATATACCTACGCCATTGGGTACACCCATTATGTATATGGATGCATATATTTAAATAGCAAAGTGCTGTCTTGTTATGCCTTATTGATATCAAAATTAATTTAGAACTTCACTTCAACTTTATGAAGTTCAAATATAAATCATAAGAACTACTATCTTTAACCTATTATCAAAGAGATGAGTATATTGTAGAGTAAGCATTAAGAAAAATAAACTAGATTATTTGTTCCTGCTGTAAACATTGATATTTAATTAATTTTTTATTGCATTACATTGTAATTAAGATATTATAATTTCCTTATAATATATTTTTTTGTTTATTTTGTTTTTGTGAATTTATTAAACATTACTGATGCATTTACTTAAACTTATCCATTCAATTTACTACCAAATATGCATTTCAATTATTTTAAAATATTTTTGATTTCTATTTGTAATTTCCTTGTTAATTTATTGATACTTGCTATTTATATGTATGTATATTTGTATTTTTGTTAAATAATTAATAAGTATATATATATATCATATATATCATTCTAATGTTGTAATAAATTTATATATATTAAATATATAATAGTCAAACTTAATTTTCTCATTTGATTTCTTAATAAAAACATTGAAAAGTCTTTTTGAAAAATTTCCCAAGTATTCTTCTTATAATTTGTTTACTTATATATTTTATTTTGTTTTTTTCATATTTATATAATATAGTGTTTGTCTTCCATTTAATTATATATATATATATGTTGAATTTATATATATTTTGTTTGAATGCTAGAGACGCATGCAAAAAGATCAAGTCGCCTAAGAGTATGCAACAGTTGTTAAGTATAATTTTTTTTTCGTCTATAACAATATGAAATATTTTCAGCATAAGCTTCAAACAATATTTTATAAAATATTATTATAATAATATTAATAATATATATATAGAAATTGTAATAATACCCTTCATTTTTATAGTAAAAATATTTATTTAGATATACAACACTTATAGAGAATTTATTTGTTTATTTAATATTCAACTAGTATATATAATAATTTGAGAATGAATTTATTAATTTTAATGTAATGAAGTAAAATAAACACATGTAAATATTTACTTTATATAATGTTAAATTCAATGTAATTATAAATTACAAATTTCATGGAATTAGTGAATATTATATTAAAATTATGATTGATTTTAAACTGATCTCTGTTTTTAAAATTAGAATACAAATAGAAAAGAAAAACAAAAGTTATATATATAAATATATTAATATATCAATTAAACAGAGTCGGTAATTATTTATAATAATAATAATATGAAATAATTAGTACAAAATCTCCATATATATATTAATGTTTAAACATTATTGTAACATCTATATAATATTATTATAAATTTATATTATTAAATAATTTATTTATTTATTAAAACTTAAGAAATGAATATTTAATCATTTTTATATACAATAAAATTAAATAAACAAAAAAAAATTTCACACATAAAAAACTATGCCTATGAACAGCTTTACACAAACCCAAAATGTTATATGTATGTGTATAAATTTATGTTTAAAATAATTTGTTAACACAAAAAATAAATAATGTTTAAAAAGAATGTAAATATATTTATTATAAAATATAAAAAATATGAAAAGACTTTTACTCGTATAAGAAAAAATTTATAATTTATAATTTAATAAAATTATAATAAAACCACAAATAAAACTATCAATAAAATTGTGTGAATAATAATGTAAAATAAATTAAAAATTTTTAATTAAATTTATATAAATATAAATAAAAAAAAATATAATTTCAAAAATAATTTAGTAGGAAAAGATTTTACTTAACGAAGTTACGAAATTTTAATAAAATATAGCTCGTAAAAAATCAATTTAAGTATAAACACATAATGTTGTTCTTACAGCGTACAGACTTACAGTATTGATAACAATACCTTTTTAGTTTAAGAAAAGTTTAAAATTAGAAAATCTTTAAAATATATTTTTTTCTAACATTTTTTTTTTGATTCTTAAGGGTTTTTATTTAAAGTCTAGGTAAATAAATTTGAAATAGAATACGTATTAGAAATAGAAACGTATTATGTTAAACAAAAATATTAAATGAAATGACTTCAGGCGCTAATATCTAATAAATAATCTCAAATTTTCTAAATAGAATAAATTAAATTTGATTTTACAATGAGGTATAACGAAAGATATTATTTTCTTAATATAAACTAATGTTTTTAATAGAGGTTTTCGATGAGTAATGAATAGCTAATAATTTATTATAAAATAAATTAAATTTATAATAAAAAATAATAGAATAAATTACAAAATAAAATATATGTATTTATAGAAGAATAAAATATATATAATATAGAAAAAAAAATATTTTTAAACATATGATTTAATCCAGCTCTATAATTCTATAATTTATTATAAATACAACATAAATACATAAAATCCGCTGTAATTTAATTTAATATAGCTTATAAGATTTGAACTGAGTGATTATCGCTTTTAATAATTATGTTTTAAAGAAACAAAACATATCTAATATATAATTAAATAACGTGCTACAAAAATAAATAGTAAAAATAAATAAAAACAAACAATAAGAATATTAAAGAAAAACAATTTATTTATTTTATACAATTCAAATCAAATCATTACAATATTTAATTGTATATATTTCGTACATCCATATAAAATATTTTATGCATTAGGCATGAAGACATTATAGTTTTATGTTTTACAATGTTTTTTTTATAAAAAAAACATAATTAATTCCAAGATATATGTATCGTATATGCAGAATAAGTTTAATTATCATATATATAACTGTTTAAATAACATGAATAATATAATTATCAAAATGTTTCTTATTGTATTTCATATTCTTTTTAAAGTTAAACATTTTTAAAATTCAAATTTAATATATACTGCTTAAAACGTTTTTGTCCATCCGAAATAAACTTATATATTTAGTATTAAAATTAAAAAATATTAACTAAAATCAAAAAAATTTATTTATAAGAGATGGTGCATTCATTTTTTATACATATATATATAATACACCGTAATAAGTAAAACAAAAACATAAAAAATTAATAAAACTTTAAACGAACAGTACGGAGAAGAGATTTAAAGTAAAAACAAAGGTTTTTCAAACTATCACAGAATTTATAAAAAAAACGGAAACAACAAAAAATAATCTAAACACATAAACAAAAATGAAATTAATAAAAAAAATTTAAAAAATATTAAATGATTGAACTATTTTGCATAAATTTGGAATATATGCAGAAAAGTGCATTTTTAAAATTCTACCAAATTTCATTTATAAATTTCCAAAAATTCTTTAAGTAAGCAACAAGCATTTTCTGAAAGTACTTATTATAAATTATTTTGCGAACAACTATAATTAAACAATTATTTATAATTTATATTTTATATATATGTAATAAAATATTGTGTTGTTTTATCATTATATCATTTTAAATATATTTGCAGTTGAGTACCAAAAATTTATATTACACACACAAAAACTGCATTCACTTCTTAATATCAGTTAAGTACGTAGAAATAAATTGAAGGAAATAGATATATAATATTTAATATATATATGTGTATCAAAACATGTATTTGTATTCGCTATATTTGTCATTTTTTATTCAAATTCAGTTTAGAAAAATAAAAATAAGTACTTCAAGTATTTTTAAATTTTATTTGTTTTGTTTTTATAATGTATATATCGTTTTTTAAACATTTGCATATATATAATTAATGTATTATATATAATGGATACTTTATTGTTTAAGATTATTTTGTCTTTATGCTGTTTAATATAATTTCATCTATATTAGCTTAAACTTAAAGAATTTTTAGAAACTTAAAAACTAATTTATAAAAATTAACACAGCTCGTTTTTATACACTTCTTCTATGGCTACGTGTATAAATGAAATATAATGTAAAAATGGTATGATATAATAAATAATTTATAACATTATTCTATAACAATGAAATATATATATAAGTTTATATATGGTTTTATATATAATATGTAATAACTTGGCATAAAATTTTTTAAAACAAAAAATTAATAATAAAAAATTAATGCAATAATAAAACAGAATTTTTAAAGCACATACATACATAAATTTTAAATTATTCATTATAAAGTATAAAGTATAAAGTATAAAGTTAACATTTTATATTTTATTATTTAAGATTTTGTGTCGTTCTTGTGTAATTTTAACAAGAAAATAATTGTATAATTTCCAGTTCAGTGCAAGGAAGTGAAGACAAAATTCATTCATAAAACTTTTAATAAAAGTTCAGAATCAAAAGCTTTCCAGCGGAACTTTCAAACTGGTATAAAACTTTATGTTGCAGTTATTCGCTTGTAATACTTTAGACTATCAGTGTGAGCTTATGCCAAAAAGTATTTTACAAAAAGCCTTTCTTCGTATAGACACAAACTGCCAAAGCTTTAGTATTTATACTCATAAATACATACAAAAGCTTAATGGAGAAAACACAGTAGCAATATGCCATCGTCTAACATTGTACTTCTTTCTACTCGTTGTTTTTATGCATTTTCAATGAGTGAGTTGCTTTTTAATTAGCGCCTGTAGTAGGCGTGTTTTGGCTTTCTTCTCTTTATACTGTGCATAAGTTTCTTCGATGTTACGGCGATCATTTTTTAGCATTTTACGACCATTTTGCTCTTCAAATACTGTCTCGTAATCTCGTATGGTGCGTTTAAGCATCTTCTTGTCTTCGCGTGCCTTCTCCAAATGTTCCCACAGTTGATCAATGCTTAGTTGACCAATATTTTCATTGGCGTCTGCGGCTGCAGTTTGTTGGGTAGAGGTGGTGGTGGTTGTTGAGTCGTCGGAAGAGGCAGCTGTAGTTGGTGCTGCCGAATCGCTGGGTGAGTTAGTTGTTTCAGTGCTGTTGTTTGAAGAATACTGTTGAGATATTGTTGATTCAAAGACCATAGCTTCATGCTCCAATATAGTGGGTAGCTCATGTACGCCACCACTTGAGCAACCCGACAGCATAACACTGCGTGAAACCATACGTTTTATTTGACGATAGCGATCGTATATGGCTCGCGCAACATCACGTTCGTCTTTGGAATTAGGGCGCCCGTATAGGGATTCAAAATAGAGTAGGCCATGCTGTACAGCCGATTTTTCAGCTAATAATTGATCTGGTGTTAGTTCGTCAAGTACGTTGGAGCGATTAGCATCATGTTGTTTATCACTAAGATTCTAAAAAGAGAAATTAAAAAAAATCATTATTAGTTGTTGTAAATATATATTATATAATTATTTTTAATATTAAATTAATTTTTTTATTTATTGGTCTTTTTATTATTATTATGTTGAGCCTAGTTGAGTCAGTGCACTTGAGCACTTTTACACTCTATTAACTGCGAGGTTTCTTCATAACCCCTTTCTACGCCTTGACTGGATTATTGTTTATTACTTCATTACACTAAGCAATAATTGACCTCAGATATGCATACCTCCTCGAGGAATCTGTAACCATTCTGAGGGCTCTGTCCTTTATATATTTTTTGATTTATTGGTCTTTTTTAATTTAATATATAAAATTAAACAAAAAATCTGTTTTAAACAATTCTCATAACGAAAGTAAATATAAAACTGGTCTTTTCATAAATTGTTTTTATATAAAATTAAGTGCTAATTTATTATTCGACTCCCATATTAAAATAGAAAATTATTACTACTATTTTTTTTGTCAATATATAGGGAAGTTACTAACTATACCCTTTTTTAATATGGATTTCTTGTCATAGCCTATAATAGTCTTCATAAATAATAATGATATTGTTTTAAGCCGGCTGACTATCAGAACTACTATCAAAACTAAATCAGAACTACTACAGTTCCCGGCACATGTATTTTAAAATTTTGATCGAGAAATTTATATGAAAATAAGCTCTATCTCTATAGTAGAGATATTAAAAATTACTTAATAATTAAAAAATTTAATAAAAAACCATTGAAATTTATTCTTACAGCGTGACTTTATTTAATTGACTCTAATTTACGGAACAACTAATTAATATATTTAATTTAAAAATGTATATATTGCAGCTTAACTGTTTGTAAAATCTAATTAAATTAAAATGTGTGAATATTTTTTTGTACTGAAAAGAGCAACAACAACCAAAAGTACAACAATAAAAAAGATTTTTAACTAAATTTGGCTCTATTGAGGCAATACTATTCCGGCGAATCGCTAATTTTAGTTGCCGTGAGACTGTGACATTTTGGTCATTTTTTGCGACTATAATAGCAGTCAACAACTCGTTATTTAATTAATATAAACTTTTTATTGTCTGACAAAATAAACACAATGTAAACAAAGTTATTAATCATATAAAGAATTAAAATAGTATTATAAACTAATATAATTTTTGTGGTCTATAAAAATACACTTCAGCTTCAGATAGCATAAATGATGAGCGTGTCAGGCGAGCAAATAAAGTCAAGAGAACAGACAACAGAGAGAGAGAGAGAGAGAGAGAGAGAGGGAGATAATGGGGTTTTCAATGAAACTTCATATAATATTTTTAATTAAAATATGTGATTATGCTCTTAATAAAATAACATAATATTTACCTAGCCTAAAAATATCTACTATCTTCATACGAATATATATAAGTGGAAATCGTATCGTACAATTTTTAAGTAGTGTTCATAACTTTTGAAAAATATCAGTTCACATATATACAATATTATTTATTATTAACAGATGGCAAAAACTTCTGCTATGTACGAATATATATTTATTAATAAATATTTTGTGTTTTGTGTTGCAATTTTTTTGGCAACGGAACTGAACTTTATGAATCAATAGGAAGATTGCAACTTTTGCAACTTAAGAAATTTTTACAAACAGTTGAGTAAATAAATGCATTCTTTAATTTAACCTTGACAAATTTCGTGTAAGATACACGCTCGCTGCGATCTTATATAAAAACCAAAAATATCTTAACAATATTAATCGTATGTAAAAGTTTTTGAAGTGCAAAACAACACCAAAAAGATTTTATGACTTAAAAATAATTTCATGAATGTCTTTATATGCATAAAACCACATAAATTTATTTTCATTTAAATATAAACATACGCAATGTAAATAAACAGTAAACAAATAAATAAGTAAAATATGTATAAATTATTTTTTAAAAATAATTTCTGGCAAACCACCAAAAAAATATACACAAAAAATTGTCATACCTCAAATATTTCAAAAATTAATTTAAAATTTAAAATAATTTTCTTCCTTTAAAATATAAGACCTATGTATCATCTTATGAAACATACTTCTTTACTGACGCGTTTGTAGTGCCACATTGCTTGAATCAGACATAGTATCTATATACATTTATAGTGCGGAACTATACTGTGTACGAGAACACAATACGATGATATTCTGTTTTTGTTTTTTTTTTGTTTTTTGGGGGCAGTAAATTGGCGCACGTGACTGAAGTACACGTACACGTACAAATTGTTTTTTGTATATAAAAAAATTATTTACATTTAATGAATCCATACATTTTAAAATAATAAACAAAGAAGTGCACAACAATCAATGGGTCAACATGTTGTATGAGTGTAACTATAAAAATACATTTAACAGAAGCCCACTACCCACATTTTCTTATAGCAAAAATAATTTCTACTCGTTCTAATCCTGTTCAGATAATATAGTCTATATTAAAAATCATGGCAATGGTGCGGATATTTAACACTTTAATGACTCACCTGTTCAATTTCTTGTAGCGTCAATTTCATTTTCTCCAACTTTTTGGTAGCATCCATGCCACCGCTTACTTTCAAGCCCAGCGCACAACTAGCTGCATCGTTCTTCAGCTCTTGCCTCTCTTTGCGCAATTTACTCAGCTCAGCTAAAATGTTTTTCATATACTTGTCATTAAGACGTTCCGCCTGCGAAGGTCTATAACCCGAGCGTGCCTCAAAAGCTTCCTCTAATTGTGTTAATTTCTTTTTAAGTGCAGTCATACGTTTATTGATTTGCTTAAGACGTTCTTCAGGTGATTGAAAAGCTCTCATAACCGGCAATACCTGTTGGATGACATCGCGTGTACGCACATTTCCCAACGAAGTGAAAGCTCGAAAAGTATCAATCGGTTCCATATCATCCATATCGCCTGCATAGAGGTGTGCGGCACTCTGTTGCTTGTGTTGCTGTGGATAAGGCATTACCTTTGCCAATGTAGCTGCTGTATCAATGTTGTCTGCGTTGTGGGGATAGTGATGTACAGCTGCATAACGTCGGCTTAATACTGGTGCTTGATCATCAGGTACTGAACGTTCCCAAGGTAATACTTCTTGTTCAGAAAAAACTGGTAGCTTAGTAGCAGTGACCGTCTTAGTGCTTGGAATAACAGTACAACTGCTATTATCATCGCTACTGCCACCAGTGGAAGAGGGTGTTGGTGAAATTGGCGTATTAGCCTTTGCGTGTTTGTGGAAATCAATTAAGTTATTGTCATTGTGATCGTTACCACTGGGTTTTTCAGCTGTTGGTGTAGTATTTGCACTGACTTTCTTGCTGACAAAACCGCGACGTTCGTATTTCAAGGCGGAGAGATCATATTTGTAAACATTCTCATCGTTTCTCTTTGCTGGCATATATTTGATGACATTGTTTCCTGTCATGCCGCTACTCTTCTTAGTTACACCAGCTGCTTTGCGACCGGGTGGTGCGCGTGTCTTGCAGAAACGTTCGCTACTGCGACGTCTTTCATGCTCACATTCGCTATCATCGCTATCGCGATGTTTACCATTGGCACTGCCATTGCCATTGCCATTACCATTTCCACTAGTAGCGCGCATGGGTGAGTGACGATGTGAGCGTGCTGGGCTAGTCTCATACCGTGAACGGCGTGTCATATCCTTCGTAGGACCACTAACTCCCCACTTATCTGTATAGTTTGGTGGTAGTGCTTCATTGCCTTGTTGTTGCTGTTGTTGTTGTTGTTGTTGAATTTTCTGGCGATTAGCCAGTGAAGCATCATTTTCATTGCCAACTTTGCTATTCTCTTGTGTTGTTTTGTTATCTTTCGGTTCAATTTCTTGTACTACATATGGCGACTTTTTAAAATCTTCTGAAGACACACGACGTATTACGTCAGTCGATTTTTTTATAGTTAAATTTCTGCCAACATCACCGTCTGCAGTTTTATCAATATTATCTGCATCGATGGATTTATTGAGGTCTGGTGGTAGAAGTTCCTCACTGTTTGAACGCTGTAACTTGCGATCCTGTGTTGCCGAGGATGTGCTGTCAAGGCGTTCCTTGCGCTTTCGCGATTTTTGCCATTCTGATGGATTAATAATTTCTGGTAAATATGTAGAACTAAAACGTGTTGATGTCAAAATTTGTTGCTGTTGTGTGTTAAGTGAATTCTTATTGTTATTATTATTAAGATTATGTGTTGAAAGTGCTGTTGATATTTTTTCAGGACTTGTTTGTGATTGATGAAGCTGTTGTTCGTGAAGTTCTTGAAGCTTATGATGTAATTTTTCCGTTGTGCTGCTATCTTTATGTGCAGGCGTATTTTCCTCAGATGAAGATGATGATGATGAACTACTACTCACTGAAGATGCTGATGATGAAGATGAACCAGTCAGACGACTCAAGTCGCCTTCACTTAGACCAGTATTGGGATGGCGCATGCCGCACTGAAAGAAGATAAACACATTTTATTAAATTTATTAAATATTTGAGGAATATTTATAATAATTTATACTATATTACAAATTATTATATACATGGAGTATATAATTTACAATAATTTTTATATGTAAATTGAATAACATAAAAAAATTTTTTTTAAATATCATATAATAAATCGAATAATATTTTTGAAATAGTTTTATAGTAAAACAATTCCTATTCAAATATCGATTTTTGGTTTTTATAGGTAAAAGTTGAAAATGTCAAGATATGGGTAAATACCTATATTGTATCAACAAACGAATTAAAAATACTGTAAGGTATTATATATAGTTTTTCAAAAACATATAATATATATGGTACATGGCGCATAACACAAGGTATATGGTTATCCTAATTATGTATAGTATTTGCGATTATTGATACTGATATTTTGTAAGAATTTTATTTTTGGATATTTTAAAAAATATATAATTTAAAATAATATTTTTAATATTCTACAACATAGTCGATAAATGAATAATATAATAAACAAATCTAAAATCTCAAATTGTCTTAAGGCAACATCAACTTATCTTTTATAATTACGATTTCAGACAAATACGTCTAGCATTGAACTCTTGGCTTACTTTGCAATAAAATTGAAATATGAAAATAAATAATAATATTTAATAATAAATTAAAGTTAAGTACAAGCTGACGTAGTATTTTCATTGTAGTAATTAGTTAAGGTAATTAACAGCCGCAGTAAAACACATAAAAATAAATTTTCGAAATACCAAATTGTCTTAGGTCTTTTCAATTTGTAGTAAATACAAATTGTTTCTAATTTTTTTTACTATAATTTTTTTTTCATATAAAATGGATTAATTTATTTTCTTTTAATTGCATATTATGAGTAATGTAGTAGAGTATATCGATAATTGAGATACATTAGAATTTTACGAAATTATTGACAGTACAACATTTCAATTTGCTTCGTCATTTACTGATACTATTTTCAATATTGCGTGGAAAATACAAAAATACAATGCGAGAAATTAAAACTTTAATTATTGATAAATAACTGCATTAATTATAATGAAAATTATTTATCATACGCAATGTTGACTCATCACACAATGACTTTTATTAATAAGCAATTATGCTGCTGAACTTCAAGAAATATTTTTAAGTTCAATATAATAATTAATAATTATTTGTTTTAAAGTACGATTTTTAAAGTCAACTATGACGAAAGAAACTATTTTCATAATATCTATATTTCTTTTTATGTTTCTTATATATATTTTTAATTACATGCAGAAATGATATATAAAAACTTCTAACATAAAAATAATTATTTAATTAATTTATATTATTATACATTTCATTTCACACACTGATTTTATATTATAAAATATTATATGTTTAATTTTATGTATGCAGTATGTATTTTAGATTTTTATTCATATATATTCTATATTTAATAAGGTTTAATAAAATAAATTTGTTATTTATTTGGTATATAATTTCATTTAATTTATAACATTTTTATAATTTTATATAATTTTAATTTTATACCATTTTAAAATTTAACCAATTCAGTTGAGTTGAAAAGAACTTTTATCTGTCAATATATTTCTGCATTTAAAAGAAGTGAAAACTTTTATGAAAAAACAGCAGCTTGATTCTTGTGCTTTTTGAGAAATGGTCCATGTGGCGTATGAGTAACCAAATTGCATTGCAATCACTCCACATGTAAAAAGATATTCAAGAAGTTCTCAAAGTAAAACCAATAACAAAAAAATTTATTTATACTCATAATAATATTTTATTTTTCTATGATGAATTAAGAAAGTTTCCATTTTGAATTAAACTTCTTTTATAATTTTGTTAGTTATTTATTAAAAATATTATTAATAACATGACTTGTTATAAAACTTGTCTTTAATATTAATATGGCAAATACTTCTCACATAATAACGATTACTAAAAGGCTATTTCGTTAACCATTCCATCGAAGAAAGACAAGCTACTAACGTATCGCACTAAAATATAAATTATAATTTATATATAATTTATAAATTATAATTACTTAGGTATGACTAAAACCCAAATATGTAAAAAACTTTTTTATGTGTTATTACTAAATATGCAGTCAGATATCGCAAAAAATATGCAATATTAATTTTAAAATTTATTGAGAATATGTAAAATTTAATATTAAAGGATTTTTATTAATTTCAGATGTTGCAAAAAATATTCAAAAATAATTGAAAAACAAAAATAATAAAAAAAAATCGTTATAAATAGTGAAATAAATAATTAGTACATTAAACAAAACATTCATTATTTGTATCATTGAATGAAACACTTAGTCCATAGCGGACGAAGTGGAATAAAAGGAGAATGTCTCCAGTTTTGTTTTATAGTTTTTTTGTAAATTTCACACTAAGCTATCATATCCGCCTATGGGGTTTAAAAGTAAAATGCTTTAGGTTCTGTTTAATTGAGCTTTGCATTTGGTTGCAAGACGCTCCGACCAGGCTTCCTATATTTTTAGTCTGCCTTACCAGAATGATCAGCATGGTAGAATTATTTTAACTTGATTTCACGAGTTTTCGAAAATGAAAGTAAAATAAAAAAAAATAAAGAAAAGAATTTTTACTTAGAATGATTATGCACCTTTTTTACAAAATCAATAACCACAAATTAATTAATTTTTAATTTTTTTTATGACATTCTTTCGCAAAAAAAAATTGCCTTCAAGGAAGCCATTTTTACTGTCAAAAACGCAGAGTTGCTATCAATTGTCAAAAAAAAAAGATTTATGTACAGTATAGTATGTAGGTACAGTATGTTTTTGGTACAGCTACGAATACACAGTTTAAAATTTTTTTTTTTTTTGACCAAATTGCACTGTAAAACTTGTTGGAATTTTTTTTTTTGAAAATATATTATTGTGATATGTGAAGTACATAAAAAGCCTAGTTTACCATATGTAAACTAGTTTAATTAAAAATAAGATTCCTATCTATCTTTTAATAATACATAACTACTTTTATATGAAATAAATTATAATTTTCTACATTTATTATTACGTCATTGAAAGATTTACTCTTGAATATAAAAATTTATTGTTACATAATTTTAAAAATAATATAAAGTATAAAAATTAACCTACCAAAAAGTATGTAATTATCCTTGGTGTCATTTTTTGGAATTGTAAAATGGAATTGTTTTTCTTTTGTTTATTATTGAGTATTTTAAACCAAGTTTGAAGCAGCATTCAGCGCCCCTTAGTTATGCAATTTTTTTAAACAAATTTCTTATAGTTCTTGGGTTCAAAAAAAAACTTATTATTTTAAATAATTAAGCTTCTATTGTCTTTTCATTTTTGAATACTTTCAAAGCACTTTTAACTTTATTTTGATTTGATACAATTTACTTAATTTCTAATAAATTTTGATTTATTATTCATGTCAAGCGGAAATCACTTGATACACTTTAATTAAATTCAATTTAGCTTTACCGTTTTAATATATAAAAGTGTAAATTTTTTTCAGGTTCTTTGGCACATTATTTTTGAAGCGTACACTATCACAATATATGCAGCAAATGTTATTAAATTTATTTCACCGCATTGCAAAAATATGAAAAATGTTTTTTCAAAACAAATACTTAAAGGCATTAAGGTACGCTTAAATAAGTTTCTTATCTTTTACTCGTACTTAAATAAATTAAAAAACTGATTGATTGCGAAATTTTGTTAAATCGCCTGTATTTTTGTTTGAATTTTTCCGCTCGTTGTTTTCCTTGCGAAAACAAAATCACTAGTAAAATTATTTTCCTAGCCGCAAGTCAAATTATATACAAATTTTTGCCTTAAAGAATGTATTCGCGTATCTGTTTTGTGTTCTTGTTGTTTTTGTTATTTTTGTTGCTTTTGTTATTTCTCCCACCTCGCTCTCATTAACAGGGATGACACGATCTTTTTTACGTGTATGCAAGCATGAGTTTATTTGTTAGCACCGGTAAATCAGAGCAAAAAGATTATAACAAAAAGTAATAACAAAAAATTATTGAATTGGCAGAAGAGAGTTTTTTTTACAAGCTTTTAGAGCAAACACAGCAGTGTAAATTAAATGGTAGCAAAATTGAAGAAACGGGCGCAATGTCAAGTGTTTGCTTTCATTTACGTGCGCTCAGCCAGCCATAAGACCAGAGAAAAACATAGACAAAATTATGGAGAGAGTATCGAACTTTTTTGTGTTTGGTATTAATTAAAATAATAAAAATGAGAGCGGCTTTTGTTTTACTATTAAGAACAACACTGCACACTGAAGTTTGAGAGTGTAAAAAATATTTTATTGTGCTATCTTTTGTTGGTTTTGTTTTTTGATTTTGTTTTGTTTTGTTTTTACTTTTTACTATTTACGGTAGGAAAATTATATATGATACAAATTAAATTAACGAAGACATCCATTAATTATAATTAGCAAATGTGATCACAATTTTTTTTTCTGCTTGTGTTACTAAATACAATATGCAATGTACTTTACGTATATTAGAATTTTAAGTATAAATATGATAACATAGAACAGTGGTTCCCAACCGGTACGCAATAATACTCAATAATATAGGAAAGCTTGATTTACAAATTTCATTGTCAAGCTCAATAGAATATAATGGTTAAGAGTAACATTGGAAGTTATTTTATTTACTTTACTTGTACATTCATTTACGGTCTTCATCAGTGTTATTCAAGAAAATTAAAGGAATGTCGTCCTATTCGTCGTATGTAGGAAATTGACTAAATGCAGCCTTTAAAAGCAGTGCGCTATCGTTTGAGTACAGTTTGTCAGCGACTGGCATTTTCTTTGGCAACATAATAAAGAAAAAAATAAACATTTGGTTTGGAAAAAGGAAAACATTTGGTCGTGCTTAAAACAAAAATCCGAATAATAAAATGCACTTTCCCATATTTCTATTGACTTGTGACAATAGGGAAGTTCGCATTATT